TTCTACTATAATTACATCCTTAAATAAGTAAAGATTGTTATCATATATTTTTTTATTTATTAATAACACTTAAACTCGATAATACTCGTAGCTATTAAACAAAAAAAAAGAAAAGAAAATCGATTGACAAATGAGAAATTTCTCCTGGTCACGCTATAAGTTTTTTTTGATTTCATTCATCTTTTTTTTATTTTTTTCTAATACTTCGTAGAAGGTTCTTACATTAAAAAAATAAGAAAATTGCGCACTAATATAGAATATAGGGATGAAAGTTTATAAGAGGAAGCAAACTAGGGACGAACCCGAGCAAAACGAGGATGAGTTGCTAGTACAATGATAAAAGAAACAAAATCGATCGATTTTTTATATTCGTAACAATTAAGTAAATGTTATTAAAACAATTAAATAAATTTTATTCTAATCGAATAAGAGATAAACGGTCCCGGTTTTTAGAAGGACGCATTTAAACTATTATATTTCAAGGCTTCTTAATTTAATAGCCAGCAATTAAGGAAATTTCGTTTTTATCATGAAATTGAGACAGCAAATGTTTACTTTTAATTATTGTTACTTACCAATTTAGAAAATTGACGTATTTAAAGGAATTTCTTTGAAAAATTTGACATTTTATGATTAAAAAATTGTTAGAAGCGAATATTAGCAATTTTCAAAGCAAATTATGATGATGAAAGTCCTGTTTACTAAGAAAATTGATTGTAAATTTTTATTTAAAGTAAAATTATCTAACGTTTTAAAATCTCAGTGTTATTATTATGGCTCCAGAGGACTGAGTGTATAAAGTCAGTAGGGGAACAATGGATGACTCAACCTCTACTCCTCCCGGGGACTAGCTAATAGCTGTAGGCGTCGAGAATGTAGTAACATCGTCGCCGTAATATAAATGTTGACTCGTTCACAAGTTCCTAAACAAAATGTAGACAGGTTTAAAAGCCACGTATAATGGATATTTTACGTATAAATATTTGAAAATTAGAGAGTGGTAATAAAAAGTTGCGAAATAAAGCCTTCAGGTTGTTTCAAGTAATAAGTTTATTTTATAGTTAGGACCCAAATGAATAACTAAAGCTATGTACACAATGGTCTCTATCTGCCAGATTATGATGTGTATGGGGATATATAAGATTGTATTGCATAATATAGTATTCTTCTCGTATTTGAGATGTATGATCTACTTTTTGACCATTTTCAAAGTAAAAGTACTCAATTTTTGAGTAATTTTTTTTTATAGACCGACCTGTCTATGATTTTTTTTTATATTAACTTGTATTAAGCCTTAATAAGTTTTAAAAATGTGGCCCCTGTGCAGTAAATACTTTACTTTATTAATTAAAATAAATGTATGATACGCGTTACGCGGAGTAAAATATATAAAACTAACGCTAATAAATTATAATATATATTGTGTATCTTGTACGTGGACTTAGCCGTGGAAGCGTTGCCGGGCCCGGAATCCTTAATCCTGCGTAGGCACTGATCACTAGGGGGTGTTTTGTGTGTATGTAGAATATAATATATAAGCCCATTAATCAATCCGACCGAAATACTTTGATTTTCTTTGTAACCGACACAATTCAAAGGGGGAGCTCTCGTCCCACCGACCGACAAACACCGAATGCCATTGACAACTGTCATTTCAAACCCGACCTAAGATGATGCCATATAAAAAATACTAAACAATAAATAAAGCATGAAATTATAAAATAAGTACCTATCACATACATATTTTGATTCCCTTAAAATATATTTTATTAAGAAAAAAATATTTAATCATAGAAGTATCTGTTACATTAAGCTTGTTAGTTTTTTGTTACATCAATAATAATCCAAAAACTATAAGATCTAATGACAATTATATATACCTAAATACTTGTAACTTTAACGATATTTCTTGCTTTAATTATCTATACATATAATAAAATTGTAACTAAGCCGAATCTGTACATTAAATATTTTTTTGAAAATCTTATTGAAATAGGCATTATTATCGATACAGAGGCCGAATCTATAGTTTTTAGAATTTTTTGTCTGTCTGTCTGTCTGTTACCGCATCACGGAAAACTACTGGAGGAAAATTTTGGTATGATGATAGCTGGTTATCTGGGTCAACATATAGGATACTTTTTACCGCGTAAAACTATCTCATTTTTGAGAAAAAGTACAAAAACTGCAGTGTAAGAGTATACCAATAAGTAAAACCTAAGAATTTGGTTATTGGTCATCTGAATGCGGGCGGAGCCGCGGGCAATTATGCTAATTATATATAAAAACTTGTAATTTTAACGATATATCTTGCTTTAATTAATTTTATATAATGTTTACAGGTAGGTACCTATAAGCTCGCTTGATTGTATAATGTTACGTAATCTAAGTTTCAGCGACTACATTTATACATAAAATGTGTAAATAAATTTGGATATACACTAAATAACTTTCCTAGCTTACATTAGCACCAAAATTCAACTGTTTGCGTGAGAAAGTTAAATAAAACTGCTAACATTTAACTAAATAGTGATGAGTTATAGAAAATTGTATATACATAATATTGAGATGATGTCGAGTTTGTTTATTGTGGATCGTTTTCAAAAATTAAAAAAAATATATATATTTATATCCATCTCAGTATATTATCGAAAGCTTGCTGATTATATTTTTCTTTTTTATATCTTATAGTTTCGTTTATAAATATTGCACAAAATTGCAAATGATCGAATGGGTCTAAATATGGATGAGCTGAAATAGTCACGTATTTTTAAATTAAAAAAACACAAAAGTGAACTAACAGGTAAAATCTACCATATAATATTAGGTAATAATAAAAAATAACGATCCATTTGTTGTTAACATAAAAAATAATATTTATATTAGTACAAAAATTCTATGAAAGTTTTCAACATCTCTAATCTCATTTTTCTAAACACATTATTGCTAGATACCTTTCTATGACAGTTTTCTGTTTGTTATTAAGATTGAATTCTATTCTTATATCCAGTTCCAGAATATCTCAGTAAACATCGTTCAAAACGGACAAAAGTCCATTTTTTCTTCTCTTACACTAAGCTTAGAGAGCTTTACGGTAGCTATTTATATCGTCATTGTCTTCTACAGACGTTACCACTTAACGTTTTATTATACGAGATCCTTCTGTATTAAAATACAAAAGTTTTCAGCGAAGAAACGCCAAGATTAATGTTTCATAGAAATTAAGTTCTTTCTCGAGCAGAATTCTAGACTGATATCTATTTAAATCTTGAAGGATGAGTACAGAATTAAAAGAGCGTGAATATTTTTAAATGTAAACGCTTTGGGAAATTCACTTAAAAGGCTATTTTATACAGAATAGGTTTTGAATTTTTACTTTGAAGTTAAAGTTTTAGTATTTTTTTTGTTATTGTAGAATGGAAAAATTAAGAATTTTCTTTCTTTTAAACTAAATTTCATTGTTCGTATTAGATATAAGCTTTGATATTATGTATGCAATTGTATTAGTGACTCATGTAAAGATTTTAGTCATTTCTTATGACTTTTTCAATAATAAGATGGGTACTTTTTGACATTCCATGCAATCGTACCTTCCAAACAAATGAATGGAAAGTGTGTCAAGTAGTACTAAGGAAAGTATATAATATAACTAGCACTGCCCGCTGCTCCGCACGCGTTCACATGACAAAAAACCAAATTCCTAATTTTTACATATTAGTATACTCTTACAATGCAGTTTTTGTATTTTTCTCGGAAATGAGACATTTTCCCGCGGTAAAAAGTATCCTATATGTTGACACGACTAACCAACTATCACCATACTAAATTTCATCAAAATCCCTCCAGTGGTTTTTCTGTGATGCGGTAACAGACTGACAGACAGACGAAAATTCTAAAAACTATAGATTCGGCCTCTGTATCGATAATAATGTTTATTTCAATAAGATTTTCCAAAAAATATTTAATATACAGATTCGACTTAGTTAAAATTATATTACATGTACGTATAGATTAATTCAAGTCAGCTGATCTATTATCAGCCATTTATCTTTTAGGTAGCGGAGATACTTTCCAGCCTTAAAATGGTAATTTTAAAGTCTTTTACTCATCTGACTGGAGTACAAACATTCGTGCTTATCAAACAAATGAATGTCTCGAGCGGGACTCAAACCTGCGACCGCTGGCACAGTAAGTAGGGTCACTACAAACTGAGCCAAACGTGTCGTCGTATAGTGGTCAGTTGACTGAAAACGCATATTGTGATACTAATATTACACCTTGCAATAATATCCTAGGCTTGACTTATTGCAAATGTCATACTGCAATGCATGCAGTCAGACTGAGCTCCCCAATAACATAAACAGGTGTATTGTGTTTAAGAACCATTTAATTGGCCTCGATGAGTAGTTGAGTCAGAGGCAGTGAACGATAATAATATGATAAATGTGCTGATGATAAAATAGTGACGAAGCAAGTGTTTGGATGTACGATATCAGCTTTATTAATTGTACATAGACCGAGATTGGATTTGTAAAAAAAAATATTTTTTTTTAAAGTCGAATCTGTAAATTTAATATTTTTTGATTTTTTTTATTGAAATAGACATTATTATCCGGATAATAAATCCAGATATATAATACAGATGATGAATCTATAGTTTTGTCTGTCTGTGTCTGGGATTCCATCAGGAGAAAACCACTGGGCAGATTTTGATGAAATTTCTTAAAATGATAGCAGATAAACCAGGTCAACATATAGGATACTTTTAACTGCGAGAAAACATCTCTGAGAAATCTATAATAAACGTTAAAACGTAACTAGGGACGAATCCGAGCGGAGCGAGAGTGAATATTCGCGTAAATCTAAGAACATATTATATTATGCAAATATAAAAGCTTACTCGTAGTCTTCTCCTGTACTGTTTATGTTTAACACATTAATACCATCATCTATCATATAGCGAACAAATTAAACGTGTATATAACAAAGTTTCTACACACCTGTACACTGGGTTGTCATCTCTGTACCACACGACGAGTAGTAAGCTGTCATTTCGTTGCGGCGGGCGGGAATCGCAAGGTAGGTCTGCTTCACCGCCCACCACTGACGAAACCCGTGTTACTGTCCCCGTAACAGATGATAGGGGAATACCTGCATAGAGAAATTCTGTTACATTTAATCTATTCAACACTAAGTCATATAAATTAAACTTGAATTTGTATTTGTTTGGGATAATTTGAAAAAGTAATGTATGGATTTTTATGCGGTTTTCACCAATAGAAAGATTATTATTTAGGTTATTTTGAATCGTTATAGGTTTTATAATGATTTATAGTGATATTTGTGATTACGGAACAAGTCGTCTGTTATAGGATCGAACCCAAGCGGAGCGAGGGTAACCTACTAGAGTAAGTGTAATTACTGCTTAACTACTTCGAAACATCGGGGTACAACTTTAAATATTTTTAAAGTGTGAAATTAAAAAATAAATAAAACGAATGCATGTGAATTGTATTCTGTCTCTTTCTTTTGTTTGAAAGCTTTTAGTTCAAAAATAAAAATATAAAATATTTTTGTATAACATAAACATAACATTTATGTTTATATTATATAAAAATTTACAATACTTACTTATAATATACACTAAGTATGTATTGTGCACTTTTTAATAATAACTATCCCAATGCTGGGCAAAGGATTCCGTTCAATACGAGGGGGATCGGGGCATTGACCACCACGCTGACCATATATGTAGCAATATACTCTATGGCTGACCAGGTGCGGGTTGGCAATTAGGCGTTTCAAAAACTTGCTAGGTTCTCTCAGACATGTAGCTTTTTTCACGATGTTTTCCTTCACCGTAAAACAAGTGGTAATCATATTAGAAATGATTCGCACATGAACACATCAGAGGTGTGAGACACGAGACTTGAACCCGCTTCACTCGGTTTTCCCAGCGAGCGCGTTACCACTGGGCTACCACTACCTACACTAATATAAATAATATATACTTTTTTATATAGTACTAGCAGAACCCGCGGCATCGCTCGCGCTAAAATTACAAAAAATATCTAAAAGGGTAGTTTCATACAAGCTCTCGTCCACTATTTTACCCCCTTATAGAATGAATTTCGAAAAATGCTAAAACACATATTTATTTAATTTTATTGAAGAGCTTTCATATCAAATTTCAAGTATTTCTGATCATAAATTTTTTTTTTTAATTGTATTATAACGTGTTTTCCCTAGATAATCTCTCACGGTAAAAAGTAGCCTTTGTTTCTCTCTAGCCCTCCAACTATCTCCACACAAAAAATCACAATCCGTCTCTCGGTTTTGATGTGAAAGAAGGACAAACAAACACACTTTCACATTTATAATATTAAGTATGGATTGTGTATACTATAACTAGCATTTGCACTGTATTACAATCAACTCTTTCCACTGTAGCCGGGCAAAAGTAATGCATATACATTACTTCCATTTCATCGGGATAACCATACGCCAATCATCACACATTGTTACTGCTATCACAAAATTGCTCATTTCATTTTGTTCAACGACCTAAAAATTGTGCTTTATTTTAATTGGGAGCAGTCATCGTACGTTTTATTTATTAACATTGACAACTACTGTTTTACACTACTATTACAAACGGTTCAGATCATACAATTAATTGCTCATATTTTATATGTAAGAAAACTTCAGTTTGAATATCTCTTTTTTAACCGGTTAATACCTTATCTATGTCTTTTGCATTCTACACGGCGTTGGCGAAGTAATGTGTGTCCAACTGGCACGCCTAAAAGCCAAATAACAAAGAATTGAATTGACTAATAATAATACGAAAATTTGTATATCTGTGTGTCTGTTTGTTTTAAATTTAGTACGCAGATCTAAAGCAACACATACACTATTGTTAGTCATAAAGTTTGACAAAAAATTGCACTATTATATTAAAAATTTATATGTAATATTTAATAAAATATGACGACAAAATGTAGGTAATCGTAAATAGATAATATGTACAAACCGGACTCTGATCATGATATAATTTGAATCCGACGACGTTTTAACCATTGTTGTTCCTTAAGTTTTTTTTAATTCCTGTTAGTTTACATCTTTCTTCTTGAACATTTTCACTTTTATTTGGAATTTTTATTCGAAGAGTGTACGTGCTTGCTACCTCGCACGAAAAAAGCATGACGGCACTAAATAGTGGGGATGTAGACATTGGCGAGTAACGAATTGATTTAAAAATCGATATACGTATCGAAACTTTTTTAAAAGATCTCTTAAATGTGAGCGAAAGCTACCTTGTAGTTTAAAGGGACTACCTGGTTATATTATATCTGAAGAAAGAAGTGAAGAAATATAATTGAAAAAAAAAATGTTTGAAGCAAAGTATTTTGTTAAATCTGTCGTCGTTACTTTAAATATTAAATGAAAGCGATTTTCATGAGGAAAATTAAAATATTTATCGACTCAATGTCAATTAAATAGAAAAACACACCCGTTATGAAAAATGTACATACATATGTACGTTACGTATTTCATCTAGTATGTGATAAGACATATTTCACACTAGCAACTCACCCGGTTTCATCGATTCGCTCGGGTTCGTCCCTAGCGTTTTAACGATTAGTATGAAATAAATAGACTATATATAATATGATAAATAGTATATAGCCTACTGCAATAATAGGCAGCAAAAATAGTTTTACAAATCGGATTAGTAGTTCCAGAGATTCATTCAAACAAACAAACAATAAAACAAACTTCGCCTCTTTATAATATTATAGATTATAGATATAATCACAACACAGGTATAATTGTAAATGCCAAAATTATAATACCACTTCTCATTTATTATCTGAAATAAAAAATCTGATTCTGACTACATTTTTAGAGATACTTTTGACGAACTGATACTGTAAAGGATACATGAAAACGAATGAGACTCTGTTTTAAATAATACTACCTTTTCGGATTTTTTCGCGAATTTATTTTGATTTTAGATCCCCGACGTTTCGAATGCTTTACAGCAATTATGGTCACTTGGAGTGACTTTTAGACATCTCAAAGGTTTATTATATAGCTACTACAGACTGTTGTTAGCCAAAAAATTATACATTAATTTTAAAGAAAAAAGTAATTGAAAATTTTCATAATTAATTCTAACTAGTGTAGTAATTATAGTTAAACAATTTAAAATTCTTTAATTAGTGTTGCTATTTTTGATATGCTCAGAATTTCAAGATATTTTAAAATTTATTTAATTTAGAGCTAAAGTAAGCATTCGTTTAAATCTGAGATTAAATAGAAAGAATAGATAAAAAATCGTGTTAAAAAGCTTTATTTTATCCTTTAAAGTAGATAAAAATAAAATATTTCGTACATTCATTGACATAACAATTATACGTGTTCATTTTAACATTTTATTTTTCCTGCTTAAAAACAGGCTGACATAGTAAATTTTGAAGCTGCTTAGTATTCGCGATTAAGCGGTGTTTATAAAAAACGTTGACGCAGGATCTGCGAAGTACAGAGCTTACATGCCGCATAATCGCATATGAGGACTGACGGACGGGCTTAGCCCAAATATTATATGTATATTATGTTTATATAGCAACAATTTACAGTGGATACGGTTAATATTTATGAAAATCATTTGCATCTAGAATAGGAGAAAAGAAGTTTTCATGATAATACTATAATTTGATGAAAATTGCAATAATAGAAGGAGAAAAAAAACTCAACTATAAATGCAATGAAATTTAATTATTAATCCATACGAGTATAAAAATCGGTCAAGTGCGAGTCGAATTCTCACACGAAAGGTTCCGTACCATCGAACGTGTACTTTTTATTAATATGAATAATACTCTATGTATGTAGTATATTAACTTCGATGATCGATTACGAACGTTAAAGATAAAAAAATAATACAAGAAACATTCTTGTATTATTATTTTTTTTTCATTAGTTGCTGTTATAGTGACAATAGAAATACATACTGCGTGAAAACTCTCTGACAGACGGACGGACGGATGGACAGCGGAGGCTTAGTAATAGTGTTCCGTTTTCACTCTTTGGGTATGGAATACTAAAAATGGTTAATAAAATATTAAGTAAATATATTTTTTATTATGTATCAAAAATATAATTTAGTTATATTAATAAAATATTTTTAGTGTCAGTCCAGTTGTGACGCACTAGCTTAAGATACCAAGTGATACTTTGTTAAATCCCGGGTCTCGCGCCTGTGACGTTTTCATGTTCGAATCATTTTCACATGACATGTCATAGGAAACCAAGCGAGTTTTCGAAAGACACGAAAAGTTGACCAACCTGTACCATGCTCACCTAGGTTCAATAGACCTAAGTGTCTTAGTCTAAATGCAAAAGTAAAATTGCTATTTTAACATAATATATTACGCTAATTTTGTTGTCCAAAATTTTTGTTGTTTTTTTGAGTAGATTTCTCTAACTTTCTCACCATTTATTTTAAATATTTTGAGAAACTATAATACGCATTTTCTGGATCCACACTTGGGCTTATCAAGCTACATATACTTAAAACTAGCTTTATCAAGCCATCCAGCCTCTTTCAAAATCCTCAGTTTCAAACCTTTTTTCATTTGAATATTTTAAAAATCATATTATTAAAACATATTTCTCCGCGTTACACACTTTAATTCAAAAAAATTAAATGTTAATTTAAAATTAATTATGATTGCTGCATATTTCATCTTCAAAATCCTAAAGAATAAAATTAAAAAATCTAATTTTTCACGATATAAATAAAATCTAAAAGGTTTTAGTCTGTAAAGCTATGAAGTGTTTTACGTATTTAAAGTTAATAAGATTATTATCTCGGTTATAATATAATTTTGCTTAGAAATTATGGTGGAAATGATTCTCTTGTTTATAGTTACTATATTCGGTCTCACTTTCATCTTAAACAGATATAGCATAAGCTGAAAGCTTTATCTATAACAAATATCTAGAAGAGAAAGAATTTTGCTATTATATATTGCTTGTTTCAACATGAAACAACATCTAAATTAGAAATGCATGCTCGAGCGACTAATATGCTAATCCTGTACGGGAATCAAACTACTGACCTGGGGTAGTACTGTTACAGTCCA